TCAAGCTGTCCTCAAACTCACAATCCTCCTGTCCTAGGTTTCCAAGCATTGAGATTACAGGTGTGTGCTACTACTGGGCCCAACTTTTGTCAGTTTCATCTGCTGAGCTTCTATTATACTTTTGAAGCAGAAGTAAAATGGGAAATTTTAAGGGCCTCTGTGTAAACTGATAGATTTTTGTTGGGATGGCGTGTGTGTGTGTGTGTGTGTGTTAGACCAGTAACTCTATGCTGAGCTATATTCCTGGCCTTGACTTTGTTTTGTTTTAGATTTACTTATTTTCATTTACGTGTATGAGTGCTTTGCCTGCATTGATGTATATGTACCATACGCATCTCCTCTGAATCCAGAAGAGATTGTTGGGTCTCCTGGAACTGCCTTAGCTTCCCAAGATTTGAGATTATGGATGTATGTTATCATGTGTGGCTTGATTTTTAGCATTTAAATTGCATTGTTCCCCTGGATCTAAACCCAGCACTTGTTTTTGTTCACACACGGTGACTCCTTACCCTTTGGACACATCTCTGTTCTATAGGATCTTCCGTGTCATGAAGACCATAGCCATAGAAAGTTGCAGTCCCTCGCTAGGTAGTCCTGTTCTTTTTCAGAAGCCTGCACATTGCTTCTGAACCAATGTCCTTTATTTGGGAAGCAAGCCTCTGCAGTCTGAGCCTGTAACCCTGACATCTGCTAAACATGAGGAATTATGAAGTGATTGTTCAATATTTGAACAGCTAAAGGAAACAGAAACAGGAAATGAGAATCAAAAATACCCCTCAGATTTGAGTCACGGGATCCACATGTAAACCTCAGCTCCAGTCATTGTGCTATGTGCATATAGAGAAAGAACTGTCAGTCTGAAGGGCCCACTTGCCAGCTGGAAAGAACAGAACCGTGGTTGGAGAGCCTCACACTTCCACTTTGCTCTGACCAAAAACAGAGGGCTTTGCGAGGACTTTGAGGCCCCTGGCATATCCGTGTCTAGATGGAATTATTGCTTTTTACTAGTTAATCTTTAGTTTTCCCGCTATTCTGTGGAAGATATGTAGAATTAAGATGTGCATTCATGTACTTGGGAGGACGAGGTAGGAGGATTGCTAGTTCGAGACTAGCTGGAATATGTAGTTTCTGTCTTGTTTGAACAATGTATCTACATGTTTTAAATATAATATATATTAAAAATAACATATGGGTACATATGATCAATATGCTGAAAATAGACTAGGCATTTAACAGCAGTTGCCATCGTTACTATTATTTCTGTGAATGTGAAGCACGATCATCCTTCATCCACACCTGCCCTCTGAAAGCCTCATTTCCCCAAACCATCATTTTCATAACTCTTATGGGTGAGACTCTTATTTTGGTGGTATCTTCGAATAGATTTTCTTCACTTGGGATTGTTCTATCTTCCCTCAGCCACATGAGAAATGCCTAAACCCCCAGAGAACCTAAACTGCACTTGGCAGGGAACATGGTGCCAGAAGTGCCAACTGGATTCTAAAAAGGTCTTTTGCCCACAGCTAGAAAATACATTTAGTGATAAATCTCCTCCAGCTTTTGATCATAATCCCCTTTTTCCCTTAGAGATACAGGTATAGTGGAATGTTGGGAGACCCATGATATAGGAGGGTCTTCTGTCTATATGTTACTTTCATTGGTTAATAAAGAATCTGCCTTGGTCTTTTGATAGGACAGCAGCTTAGACAGGCAGAGTAGACTGAACAGAATTCTGGGAGAAAGAAAGCAGAGTCAGGCAGATGCCATGAAGCTCCAGCCCAAGATGGACGTAGGTTAGAATCTTCCTGGTAAGCCACAACCCTGTGGTGATACACAGATTACTAGATATGGGTTAATCAAGATGTGAAAGTTAGCCAGCCAGTAAGAGGCTGGAGATAATGGGCCAGGCAGTGTTTAAATGAATATAATTTGTGTGTTGTTATTTTGGGGTATAAGCTAGCCAGGGAGACGGGTGGTGGGAAGCTGCCTGCCACTTCTTTTACAGACCCACTTGCTTTTCCCCCTGTGATTACAGGCAATGGTACTCAGAGATGCTCACATCTGGTCATGAACCTATGACTGTTTCTCTGTATGTTCAAAGGTACAGGTGTTGCTGGGTCATGGTGGTGCCACACCTTTAATCCCAGCACTCGAGAGGCAGAGGCAGGCAGATCTCTGTGAGCTTGTTCCAGGAGAGGCACCAAAAACTACAGAGAAACCCTGGCTCGAAAATTAAAAAATAAATAAATAAAAAGTACAGGTGTTGCAGGTATGACTATGTTAAGGTCCTGGGGACAGGAAGTTAATCTTAAAATATTTGGGCATGCTCAGTGTTACCACAAGAATTCTTATATGTGAAGGAGGGAGAGAATTAGACACCTGCTGCTGGTTTTGAAGGTGGAAGCTAGGAGCCAAGATCCACAGGTGGCCTTTCAGAGCTGGAAGAATTGAATTATCCCCAGAGTCAACAGAAGGAACAAAGACCCGCTGATACCTTCATTTGAACCTAGGCACAGCTGTGTGGACTTGTGACCTCCAGAGCTGCGTTACAGCAAATGTAGGCTGGGAATCAAGCTCAGGTCTTTACGCATGTGTGGCAGATCATTTATTGACTCATCTCCCCAGCCCCAGATGTTAGAGTTTATGGCAGAAGAGCAGTAAGCACATCATTTTCCTTCACATAAATGTTTCAAGATTTATTACTTTTAAGGAAAGAATAGGAACACAGGAGGCATCTTGAAGTAGCAAAGGACAGGAGATGCAGCCTGGTTCTATCTGGCATTCTGGTTTGTATTCAGATCCAGGCAAGAGTTAAACGAGCAAACGGCATATGATAGATAAGCACAGAGGAAAACCAACACAGCCCCGATTCTCTTCGCTTTGGAAGAAATCCACCCCCTCCATCCTTTGTGGCCCTGCCTGCTTTTGATACAGGGAGCTGAGGGTCTAAATAAAACCTGTTGGAGGTTCCAATTAAGTCTTTGTGGACAAAGCGTGTGTGTACACACACACACACACACACACACACACACACACACACACACACACACACACACACACGGTTTCCTCAGATAACAGGCAGCAGTAAATCCATCAGCACATCTACTTCCAGAGAGCAGAGTCTCTGCTGTCTTGCCAAAGCTGCCAGTTTCTCTCTGAGCGCTTCACATCAAGATGAACTGTAAGGTAAGATTGTTTTCCCCCTTTGGAGTTTAATTCTTCCTTACAAGTTCTGTTTCTTATTAGGGGATTTTGACTGTGAAGTTTAGTACTGATGGACTGACAGATTTCTTATTTTCTTGCTGTTGTTTTATTGAATTGTTTAATCTCTCCCTACTTATTTTACTCCGCTTAACATCGTTTCATTTTTGCTGCTTTCTTTTAGCTTTTCCTGATTTTCTCTCGTATGTGTCTTTAGTAAGTTTGTAGCTTGAAATTGCTTATTATACAAAGAAGTGGAGGCTCCCAGGTCACAGTATGTGATCCCTGGTTCAAAGTTAACTCGGAATTTGTTTCACTTAGGTGTGTGCTCCTTGAACCGCATTGGGGAAGATATTCTTCTAGCCCGGGGCTTAGAAGGCACCAGCTCAGTGCCTGCGGTACTTCTACCTTTTGAGGCTAACATTTAATCCCAGAGATAACCATTCAAAATTATTTACTGCTTGTTTCATGAAACTGGTTCATTATAGAATATTTTAAAATGATAAACAAGGAAGCGAGTAAAATCACTGATTAAAGTAACCAACCCTTAAATGTGCATCTTTCTAGTCAGTTAAAAAGAAGCACATTTTTTTTTTAACGTACCAATGTCAAGCTGTGAATGTAACGTCATATACATATCATACAGTTTACGACAGTGGTCCATTGTTAAATGTTACATTATTGATATTGTTGGCACTCTAACAGAAGTCTCATAAAAAACAAATGAAATCCTCCTAGAAATTTCAATTTCCTGAGGTTAGGCAGGGGCCTGGGACTTGATGATAACATATGTTACAGGTTCCTAAATAGGAAACTACTGATAGAGAAGCCTGCTTAGGAAACTCGTTGTCAAAGTTAGTATCTTATTTACACAGCAGCAAGCTTTTCTAAGCAGGGTCCTGTAGCTTAAATACACAAAGTACACGTACTTCGAACCTATATCCACAGGAAAAGCTAGACCGCAAATAAACAAGTTAAGAAGCTTGGGGGTTTATCTTTGTTTGACACCAGTTTTGTGACCCAGGACAAATCTCTTCAGCTCCTGAGTCTTTGGTTCTTTTTTTTAAACTATTCTGTTTCTGGTTAATGTTGTCAATTGATTATATATGTTTGCAGGCTCCATGTAGTCTGCTATGCTACAATTTTTGAATGGTGATAAACAAACATTTTTGGCATAGTAATAAAGTTGCTTTTATTTGTATTTATGTTATTTTTGAGGCAAGGTCTTGCTGTGTAGCTGCGACCTGAATCTCTATGTAGTCCAGGCTGGCCCCAATCTTATGGTCCTCTTGGCTTCGCCTCCTGGGTCTTGGGATTACAGGTGTGCACCACCATGCCTCACTCATAAAGCTACCTTTAAAGACAGTATTCCATAATTAAAACCATTTAAAAATTAGAAGAGACAAGTCTATAATGTCTCAGGTGATGCCCACACCATTCAGGGAAAAAGCTGATGCCTCTCATTTGAGAAACAAGGAGGCTGGGCACCGGTGGAAGCTGCTTAATGCAGTGGCTGTAATTTCAGACACAAATCTCTGGTAAGCAAAGTTTTCTGCAAGGTGTTATGGGAAATATGGAATTATTGAGATTATATAAAGAATGAGCAGATCGGCGTGGAAAATTCAAACTCTTTCGCTGCTTGCAAGCATTTCCACTGTTGATTTGTACAGTGAGCTCTTCTGGACCAGGCCAACGTCCTCTTCTACAAAGGTGCCAGAAGACCCACCTTCCTAAGCACCTGGAGGAGAAGGCCCCTACGCTCCCACTCCTGACCCAGCCCAGCCTCCTGCAGCCCTGCCATGTTCCAGGTTGTTCTGGGTGCTCCTCGGCGGTTGCTGAAGGAAGGGAGAGAATCCCGGAAGCTGGTGCTGGTGGTAGTGTTTGTGGCTCTGCTCCTGGACAACATGCTGCTCACTGTAGTGGGTACGTCTGGGGCTTTTTGTGTCGAGGATGTGTTTGCTTTGGGTCACAGCAGGCAGCATGTACCCTGCTTGATTTCATCAGTGAGAGACTTGTTAAGTTTGTCATATGGAAAAGATGTGGAAGTTGTTGAGGGTTGGAGGGAACTGTAGGCAGCAGGGTCTGAAGGCTGTTGAACTTTAGAGGTTCAAACAAAAACAGGTTCAAAGGTGCCTGGCAGGAAAAGAAGACCTACTTCTTCACCATTATGTCTTCCTATGGTTGCTGATGATTCTAGAGACATGTGGGGCAGTGGGCATTGTTTACCTGTGGGGATTTTCCTGCCTGTCTTTGCAAATATAGGGTAACCAAGTCCTTACCAAGTCTGGCCCTGTTGGCAGTTCATTGCCTCACGGTCCTGTACTTTCTGGCTGACAGATAATCCAATACAGTCAATACTCATTTCTTCTGCTTCTATAATTCATAAAATTCTCACAAACACTGAAATAGCAAATAAGAAATCTTAGTATCAAAGGGAAATATGTATCCCCCCTCTCCACTCCACCATAGAAATTACTAAACCATCAGTGGGTCCTGGTAGGTTCTGTCTCTTTTACAGAAAGAAAACAAGACTCAAAGATGTTGAGTGACATGTCCAAGCTGCCCACTAGCAGTCCTGGGGCTGGAATTTGATTCCTGTGAACTGCCTCAGAGTTAGAACTTCTCACACCACACTGAGGTCCTTAGCCTCTCCAGCCCTCTGGTCACCTGGAAACTGATATAAAGAGGCAGAGCCGCCTGGGTTCTACTTCAGCTGGGATATGTGTATTGGGTGAATATGTTTCCCATTTTGAATCCATCTGTGAAGAATCATTATAGATCACCATCAAGTATTGATTCTTAGGTTATACATGATTCTTTACAAGCAGGTGAATTAAGCCGTAAGGATGTCACAAATCTGTCAAGTCTAACTGTCTGATGGCTAGAATTTGCTCCTTTAGTAGGTTGGCTTGAGCAGGCATGGTCTTTAGTAGGCTTTACATGGTGTCACTTAGGAGTCTTCTTTCTGCACCAAACTGGACATTGTAGTAATGCTTTTGAAGTTAGTAGTGGTAAAAGGACCTCTGACCTCGAGTTTCCTCACATATCCTCATTGATTTCCAGTGCCCATTGTGCCCACCTTCTTGTATGCAACAGAGTTCAGAGACGTCAACTCTTCTTTGCATAGGAGTCCTCCTGTAAGCTCCCAGCAAGCTCTCACCTCTCCTACCTTCTCCACCATATTCTCCCTCTTTGACAACACCACCGTGACTGTAGAAGAGCGCATACCCTTCCGTGTAGCATGGACAAATGGCACCATCCCTCCTCCGGTCACTGAAGCTGGCTCACTACCCAAAAACAACTGCTTGCAAGGGATAGAATTCTTGGAAGAAGAAAACGTCCGGGTTGGGGTTCTATTTGCTTCAAAGGCTTTGATGCAACTTCTGGTCAACCCATTTGTGGGACCTCTTACCAACAGGTAACTCAGTAGCCACAGTGTCTGTCTTAGTCATTGCCCTATTGCTGTGAAGACACACCATGACAATTATTGCAGGAAAAACTATTTAAATTTGGGGCTTGCTTACAATCTCAGAAGTTTAGTCTATTATCATCATGGCAGGAAGCACAGCAGCATGCAAATAGGTACAGGAGGCATAGCTGAGAGCAACATCCTGATTCATAAGCAGAGAGAGAGAGAGAGAGAGAGAGAGAGAGAGAGAGAGAGAGAGAGAGAGAGAGAGAGGTGGCAAAGAGACTCTGGAGTTGTTACAGACTTTTGAAACCTCAAAGTTCAAAGTCTACCCCCAGTGACGTGCTTGCTCCAACAAGGCCACACCTTTGAATCCTTCTAATCCTTTCAATGTACCACTCTCTGGTGACTAAGTGTTCAAATGTTTGAGCCTATGGGTGCCATTCTTATTCAAATGCCACGGTGTTCCATCCACCAAGTACATATTTAGCTTAGCACAGAGGCCCAGGTCTCATATAGGTCGGTGGTTCTTAGCCCTCCTAATGCTGTAACCCTTTAATACAGTTCCTCTTGTTGTGATGACCCCCACCATAAAATTATTTCATTGCTACTTCATAATTGTAATTTTGATGTTATAAATTGTAATGTGAATATCTAATATGTAACTCCCAAAAGGTCATGACTCACAGGTTAAGAACCTGATGCAGGTGGTTAGGAAAGGAAAGAAGGGATGCTCTGGCCCCAGGGGAGCCAGCAGTTTGGCAGCTTGTTATCCCAAAGGAGAGCAAGTTGTTGGTGAAATGCTCTAGACATCACATTTTCTTAGTGATGTGAATGAATCTGAGCACTGAGAACAGAGGCAGTGAGCAGCTGGAAGTCGGTGAGCAAGGCTCGAGTGGTATGCAGGAGAGCATAGGACAATCTGAACGCAATCTGTGCTCTGGCTCCTGGAATTCTCAGCTAGGATGATCCTGAGGTTTTGAGGGACACCTTCTCAGGAAGGATCATTTGGGCCTTGTCTATGGGTAGATCTGCATGTTGGTTTATTTATGTGTGTGCACTCACATATGAAAATTGCCCTTATATTGACCCCATCTCTGTTCGTACTGAGATTAAAAAAATACCATCCGAGAATATGAATGCCTGCTGCAATGCTATCTTTTTTTGTTCACTTCTGTTTTAGGATTGGCTATCACATCCCCATGTTTGCTGGCTTTATGATCATGTTTCTCTCCACACTAAGTAAGTCATTGGCTTCTCTTCACTAAGCATCTTTGACTTCGTCGTATAAATGTGTAAGGGAGCAGGATTATGTAACCCAGAGGAAAGCAAGACATTTGAACAAGCAACTGGGACACTGACTGAAATGTTCTGTAGTCATTTGAACAGGGGCTGGGATAGCGTAAGTAACCACTTCCCCTAATTGGAATCATTCTCCTCTTCTACAGGAGAACAGATTCTTAATTTACTTCAGTGAAAATCATGAGAGCTGTTTGAATGTACACAACATGGCATATATGAATTGTGTATGTATATTTACTTGCGTGTGTGTATGTGTGTAACTAATCTCTTGAGCAAGCTTCCTACAAGCCTCCCATCTTTTACAGAAATAGGATTACTTCAGTATGGTATAGTAAAGGTTTTCTTTTGGCATGCTATGGTGAAAGGTGACTAATAACAACAGCAAAAGAATATTGCATCCTAGTAACTAGAAAAGTCCCAAATCCTACTGTTTCCTAACTGAGGGATACTTTAGGGAAGTAAATTTGCTAAAGAAACAGGAGAGTAAATGGCAAAGCCCATTCAGTATCAGCTTCATGTTTCTAATGGAATGGAGGCCGAATCAAAACAGTGAGGTGAATAAGCCTGATGTTGACTCTGAGACATGAGGAGGAAGCACACATTGTGGGGGTGTCCACTTCTAGGGGTTAATGCCAGGAAGGTGCTTGTAGACCTGCCTCTGTTTCCTACTGCCTTTGCTAAGGCCTGCTCCGAATTACACAGTTTCTCCCTCCCCCTTGATTTTTTCCCTTAGTTTTCTATCTTGCATCCTCTTCTCTATTCCTCCTTAGCTTTTCTTTTCCCTACAGTAAGAACTGACCCAATCCAAAGTTAAATTTAGGGGTGAAAGGAAGGCTGAAATACAAGAACTTGAAACGAGGTGTTCTTGCTGAGAGCTGGAAAAACACTTGGGTGATTAGAGTTAAAAAAAAAAAAAAAAGCAGTCACCAGGCTCTGCGACTTAGTTCTAAACTCAGGGTCACAAAGAAGGCCCTCATCAGACTCTGTGGGACACCACACAAAACCCAAACCAGTTAATGAAGGCAAGAGATTTGTGGGGGTAGAGGGGCTGGTTGGGTCCAGAGGGAAACGGGAGAAGGTGGTGAGATGGAGGACCAGAGTGTACACGCATGAAGTGGTGAAAGAGAATTTACCAATAAGAAAAGAAACCTAGGAAGTTCAGTAGCAGTGTTCATTAATTTCCATAAACTCAGCCTGTGTAAGAGAACAAATTAAGGAATATGCTCATACAGTGTGACTTGGAAATTCATTAATTTTTTTTTCTGCAATACACATAAAGGATAAAATATGTTCTCGCTGCCTAGAGGAGGGTGTGGTGGTTGCCTTTGGGATCATGACCATACCCTGCAAAATAAGACCACGAAGTGTATCTGTGGCCCAAGCTCTTTAGTATAAAAGTGTTGCCTGCCTCTCTGCCAAGAAGTAGTAATTAAAACCCTTTTCTATTTACCTAACTGAATGTGTTGAATAACAATTATGGTTTATGTGAGGTCACTAGTGTTGATCTACTGAGTTAGCCTAATTCTATACAAAAGAAAATATATTTAGTTGTTAGCGTAGCCTGTGTAAGACTCACTTGGGATCTGAATAAAATAAGTAAGAACGGGGCATGTTGGCACAGGCCTGTAATCCTAGCACTTGGGAGTTAGAAGTAGGGGGCTTAGAAGGTCAGAGTCATACTTGGCTATAGTGAGTTCAAGGCCAGCCCAGGGTACGTGAGATCCTGTCTCAAAAAAAAGCAAAGTTCCTAAGAAGTTGCTGGTGCTTATCATTACTCTCAAAGTCCCTATCTGGAAATTTTTTTTAAAATATTTATTTATTTATTATGTATGCAATATTCTGTCTGTGTCTATGCCTGCAGGCCAGAAGAGGGCACCAGACCCCATTACAGATGGTTGTGAGCCCCCATGTGGTTGCTGGGAATTGAACTCAGGACCTTTGGTAGAGCAGGCAATGCTCTTAACCTCTGAGCCATCTCTCCAGCCCCCCCCTATCTGGAATTTTTATTTAACATAACTGGGAGACAAATATTGACCCATATTAATTTAGAAAAATGGAAAGAAGCCAGGTGGTGGTGGCATACACCTTAATCCCAGCACTTTGGAGGCAAAGGTAGGTGAATCTCTGTGAGTTCGAGGCCAATCTGGTCTACAAATTAAGTTTCAGGACACCTGGAGCTGTTACAAAGAGAAACTTAAAAATACAAACCAGTCAAACGAACAAATAAAAAAGAAAATGAAAATGAAAATGATTGCTTTCTTTCAACAGTATGACCAGCTGTCCTGATTTTCCCAGGACTGAGGTTTTCCACAATGTGACTTTCAGTTCTGAAACTAAAAAAGAAACAGAAGACAAATTGGCCACTCCATTCTTTAAAGATACAACAATAGTGGGGTTTAAGCATGCTGGACACTAGAAAGTCTGAGGATGGGCATTGGAGGCCAAACATGGAGGACTGAGAATATGTGCTTTTGGGAGACGATTAGTTGGATGTGGTCATGCTGGGCTGTAACTGAAGTTCGTAAAACACAACCCAAGACACCTATAATAAGTGGTCAGGAAGATTAAAGTTTGTCTGGGTCAGACACCTTGGGAAGGATTCTTTTTTTCTTTGGAGAAATTGTTTGGGAGTCAAGGATGAGCGATGTCTGGGCCTACCAACACATTCTCTACAACCTGTAATTTAGTTTGAGACGGCCCTCTCCAGCTTGCCTCGCAGTTTCATTTGTGTTAGAGTCTCTACTAGATGGTCCATCTTCAAGGGCATAAACTGGTGTGTTCTTTCTCTTTCACGTCGGCTCCCAGGCCAGCAGAGCAGCACACTTGATATCATGTAGTAAACCCCAGTTTGATGGGTGGAAGCATCTTCCACCAAGTGGAAAGGTCAGATCCACTTCTGGTAAGATGTCTTCTACCCAATGTCTATGGCCCTTGAGGTGCACACAACAGATGGCCCAGGATGACCCAGGAATGGCAAGAGGTCAATGTGATGTAATACTGGATCCAGGAGTAGGGATAGGTACCAGCTCTCATTTTCAGTGGGTAGAATATCAGACTCTGAGCCAGAAATACAGAGACCTGGCCTTCTTTCCACCGGTACTGACGGTACTGACGTGATTTACGCCCTGTGACTCTTAGCTTCATTACCAATTCTAAATCCGTTCTAATTGAAAGCTGGAGTGACGTCAGTTAAGCAATTAACTTCACGAACAGAAGGCAAACATCATCATGCTTTCTTCTTCCTTTTGTATTTAAATATGTTAATTCTATGAGACAATGGATCTCAGCTCATTGTGCATGCTTAAAAATCTATGTAACAGTGACTCATCTCTCTATAGAACTCGAGTCAGCTTCTAATTCTTCCTTTTTTTTAAAGAATTTTTTGATGTTTATGTATTGTGTTATTTATTTATTTCACATGCATATGTATGCCATCGAGTACATCAAGGTCAAAGGACAACTTACAAGAGTTGCTTCTCTCCTGCCACGTGGGCTCCAGGTTCAAACTCACCTTGCAGTCTTGGCAGCAAGTACCTTTACTCACTGAGTCATCTCTTTGGCCTAAAAATTATTCTTTTTTCAAAATGTTGTTTCATTAATGTCCTATTTTGGGTTTTGTTGTTGTGACAAAATATTCTTACCAGAAGATACTTGCTGGAAAAAAGGGTTTATTTGGCTTACAGCATGTAATTCCTGGTTGGAGAAAGCCAAGGCTGAAACCCAGAGGCAGAAACTGATGCAGAGATTATGAAAGAAAGATGCTCACTAGCTTGCTCCTAATGGCATGCTTAGCTATCTTTTTTGTACAATCCAGGATCACTTGCCTAGGAATCGCACTGCCCATGTTGGTCTTGGCCCTTCTATGTCTATTAACAAGAAAATGCCTCACAGCGATGGCCACAGGCCAATCTGATCTAGGTAATGCTTCGACTGAGGTTACTTCTTCCCAGATGACTCTGGCCTATGTCAAGTTGATTGCTGAATCCGACTGTGACAACTTAATTAACCTAATATCTACTAATGGGTTTGGTTATGATCATTTCTTGCATTTTGGTAGGTACCTTTGATCATCCTCCTTCCCAATTGCCCTCTTTCATCCCCCTCGCTCTCACCGATAATCTCCCTAGTCCCAGTGAGCCCCTTTCTACTTTCACGTCTTTTCTCGTGACCCAACACGTTTAATTAGGGTTACTTAAGGAAGCATGGGTGAGGGGCTATTTACAAGCACCCTACTAGTGGCCACACCACTGAGGAAAATGTTTCTCCTCACGCCCATCTGGATCATTCTGACTCTTATCTTTCCCAGTGTTTGCTTTCTCTGGCACCTATGCCCTGCTGTTTGTGGCCCGGACCCTTCAAGGCATCGGATCTTCATTTTCGTCTGTTGCAGGTAATACTGCAAAACACACACACACACACACACACACCTCTTACCACTACCTAACTACTTTAGGTACTACATAAAATTTATATGAGGAAACTACGGAAAATGCCATCCAGGGAGGTAGCAATTGTCATTCAGGAATAGAGTGATTGTGAACTTGTTGGAGGGGTCGGTAGGTTCCATAGGTCAGGCTTTTATCTATTTCACTTCATGTCCTTTCCTTTGTGTTGCTTTTATTTAATAGGTCTTGTTATTTCAGTGATGTCATCATAGTTTTTAAAGTATGGCTAAGCAAAGGTATCACTGTATCCCGTGAGGCTGCTGTGTTCTGCCCCTCACACAACTGAATGGCCTGGTGGCACAGTTGCTAGATGCTGCCAGTAGGTTCTCTCTCCCAGGGGCCTAGTGTTTTCATGTTCCTCCTTGATCACCGTACTGAATACAATATTCCGGTCATAGATCTTCCTTTCCTGGCCTGGTCTGTAACCTCCTCAAGCAAGGAGATATTAGGAAATGACAAACCCTTATGAAACGGGAAATGATTAGATGGTAGTATTATTATGTTGCCCTTTCTCTAAGGCTTTTCATTTTTAACAATATTAGCACCAAAATAATAAGTTGTGTGTAGGGGAGGAGGGAGTGGCAACTGTGGGAGGAAGTATTTCTAGTATTCTGTGAGCTAAGTTTTATAAAACCCCTCACATGAAATATCCAGCAAAAACAGTTACTCAAGATATTGTAGGGTGGGGACCAAGGATTGTAAGAAGCAATCAGCAACCTCCCATACGCCAACATCAGCCGTCATTTTCTATGCAGGGCTTGGGATGCTGGCCAGTGTCTACACCGACAACTATGAACGAGGGAGAGCCATGGGAATTGCTTTGGGGGGCCTGGCTTTGGGGCTTCTGGGTAAGTAGAGCCTAAAATGGAGGTCTGAATTCAGGAGATGGGGGTGTTGCAAACTCCACAAAATGGCTCCAGGAGACAGGTACTTCCCTGAAGTGGAAGACAATTAAGTATTTTCCTTGGTCCTTGGCCTAATTGTGTTGACTCCTTCAGATAGATCACGTGGGGGAGGTGACATTTCTCTCTCTTTAAGAAACTGTGAAATGCAGGAGGGCCCAGGGAAGTCCTGAAGGCCATCCAGTCCAAGCGAGCGAATGTCTCTACACCACGGCTCCTGCTTCCTTCTCCTCTCCTTCTGGGCACAGCTGCTGCTTCCCACAGGTGCTCTGGGCTTTTGCCAGAGTCTCTGCTGATTTCATAGAAGTAATGTCCTTTAATCCTTACCGCCAATTAGTGAAGGATGAGCAGCTGTCCCCAGGCTAGCGATGAGAATTAGAAAGATTAAGGAGCTATCCAAAGTACTGCCAGGGTCAGGGATAAGGACTCAGATGTTCTGTACTCAGAAGTCTCAGCTCCACACAATGTATTTATGTTTTCCTTGAGGTTTAGACTTCATACTGACCAATTCAACAAGCTGCTTCCTTTCGCTGAGCATTTTATCCATGCCAAACACTATGCTGACACAGATGTCGTAGAGGTTAAAGACTTCAGACAATGTTCTGCCCTCAGGGAGTTTGCAAGCTTGCCAAGGGAAAGACCCAGCTCTCGTATTCCCCGGCCTACGTGCTACCAGCCACCATGGTAGAGAAGAGAGGGAAGAAGTCCCTGTTCTTTGTTAGTAGTCATATGGATACCCAGTCTTGGATGTGGGTCATACTAGACTCCTTTATCACACTTTCAGAAGAACGAACATGCTAGATCCCTTCAAGCTTAGCCTCTCTTGGTACGAACCTCCTACAGGTTCTCTTTCGCAACCCCTCCTGCCTTCAAGGTACACACTACCAGAAGAATCTCTTGGTGCTGTTTTTCTCTGCTAAAACGTAATTTGTTTGTCAATAACCCACAAGGCTATTGTTGGTTACATCAATAGATAGCTCACCTGGATATCTGGAGCCCTTGATTGGCATTGCTCCAGCCATCTTCATGGTCACATCTTCCCTCAGAACACGCGTGTTTCATTAGCGTCAGCACTCACCGCCACTTGTGCCCCATTCAGACTCCTCATTGTTGACCCTGCACATCACCCCAGATGCGGTGGACTCGGCAAAGTGTTTGTGACCACTTGTCCTATTGCTTCCCCAATCCCCGCTCTGTTAAATTTCATTCACTAGAAAGGAATGTCTTGAGGACGGAGAGTGGACCTTCACCTCTGAACCTCCAGCCTCGGTGGAGCTCAGACCCTCAAGACCTTCAGGAAAGGCTGAGAGGGCGATGTGGAGGAGTCACACTGCAGGTGTCTGTGCTGTCTTCTCTTTCAGTGGGAGCCCCTTTTGGAAGTGTGATGTATGAATTTGTGGGCAAGTCCTCGCCGTTCCTCATCTTGGCCTTTCTGGCACTTCTGGATGGAGGTCAGTCAATGCCGGTGCCTCCAGACAGATAATAGCTCAGCTCGGGTTGGAAATGCATCGTGCCATGGTGTCTATCTGGACATGTTTAGATGGGTCAAGGACTGTCCCATTCTAGGAGAAGAGGAAGGAGCTGAGGGAGTCAAGGTGGTAGCTATGCGGCCATTAGCAGAGCCCCGTATAATTGATGAGTAAGCAGAGTTCTTCCTCTGTCTTTTTCCTCAGCTCTCCAACTCTGCATCCTATGGCCTTCCAAGGTGTCGTCTGAGGTAAGTGGACATGAAACTTCATTGCTCTGGGATAAATAGCGTGGCTAAGCACAGGAGAAAGAGGGAGTCAGGAACAGTGAACTTCAGATTTGGATTCTAGGCAGGCCTACACTTAGGAGATAACAAAGAACTCTGGCTTGGTATTGGATGGAAGTCGGGCTTTAGAAATCAGATATTTTCTGTGGAATGAAGAGGGTGACAGAAACCTCCAGACAACCAAGAGGAACATCATTCATTTATAGTTAAGAAATACCAGAGTTTGTGTTTTTCTGACTTTAAGACAAAGATGGCTTGAGAAATCCAGATCGAGCTGTGTTATGAGGGCTATGGGTACAGCATTGAGCAAGAAGTTGCCCCGTGTGTGGGCACTGATCAGGAAGGTGCTGAGGAGATAGGAGCAGTGGTACCAGTGGGGAAGGCCATGTGTCCACCTGGGCCAGCTCCCCTAGTATCGGTGAATTGTCTGAAGTCAAAGAAGGGATTGTAACCACAGAAGCAGAGAAGGGTTGGGCATTATTGGGAGGGCAAGGATGTGTCTGTGCTGGAGAAGTTCTACATGCAAAGAGCAAGGGGGTGATACAAAGTCTGATGAGAAGAACATACTGCGGAGGATGGTACCGGGGCCCGAGTGTCAGTGGGAACACTAGAAAGCAGTTTTCCTTGAGCACAATACTTTGTTGTGTGAGTTGGTAAGGGCATAATGGCTTCATAATACTAGTGTAGTGTCTTTGGGGTGTATAGACCATTACCACCTAGGAGCCAAAGCTAGCTAGAAAGATATATTCAAAGGGTATTAGTCTATTGCTATTTTCCCCTTCCCTTCCTTCACCTCTATCTCTCCAAAGCAAGCATTTTAATTCCTTTCTATGTTTGTGTGTTTTTCTCCCAAATGATTTATGTATGTTTTCTTACGGTTACCACCTTTTCTTCCTTAAAAGGTAACATACTTTATAGGCTTCTTTATATTCTGCTTTCCTTCATCACTTAATAATGTATACAAAAAAAACCACCCCCTTGCTGTTTTGCAGCTATATGTCTCACATTAGGGAAGAGAATGCTTCCTTCTGTTTCCTGTGTGTGCATTTAGGTGGTTTTCAGTATGTTGCCATCTCAAATAGTACTCCAGCTAATAACCCCATGAACATGCATTTTATAATGTTGGAAGTCATGTTTTTTACTCCGTTTGACTTTCTCTCTCTGTCTCCTCACCTCTGACAGTCTGCAGTAGGGATTGAACACAGGGCCTTGCACAGCCCAGGCAAGCACTCCACCACTAAGCTATGCACACCCCCAGCTCTGGCAGTATCATTACCTGTCTTTAACTGTGATGCTTACTTCCTTCTTTGTGTATATATTTGCTATTTATATCCATTTCTTTACTTTGATTTGCATATGGGGTAAGAATATCATAATTTTGGTTTCTGCACCTCTAAATTTATCCATTCTTGTGTGCACACTATATGTGGTCATTGTATCCAGACTATTAAATCTCACATGTGACAGAGTAGACAGCACACCAGAGCTTAGAACTCTTTGGTTCCAATGATTGAGTTAGGGAACGCTGTGGCAAAAGGGAAATTTGAACTTGATCTTGAGAACAGGTAAGATGGAGAACTCTGGGGATGAGAAGAGTGGTAATTTGGGTAAAGGCACCACAAGGAAGGTGGGGTGTCCAGGTGTAGCTGGTGTAAGACAATGAGAGAGGGACAATCAAGATTGGTCATTAGGACCAGCATGTGAACATGGGTGTTTAGGCTCGCCAACTGCACAGCGTACTCAGAATGGACAGAAGGAAGAACCTGGACAGCATGGGGAGCTTCTTCTGTAGCCCTTCTGCTCTCCCTTTTGGGTTAAGTGCTCTGCCTTTGTCAAATGCTGCCCATGGGACAAACATTTCCAGAGAGATAGTGGAAAGGCCCTGGACATGTCTGACCATCCCGGCCTTGCTGCCATTCACTGGAGGTAGGAATTATATCCAATACATGGTATGCTGCTCTGATTGCCTCAGGACTTGTACACGTGATGGACTCTGTCCTCTGCTGTGATACCAGACTGGTCACTACCTTTCTCTAGACCTGAATTTCTTAGTCTCTACAGTATCATTACCTATCTTTAACTGTGATGCTTAAAGGAGCCAGTGATGTCTAAGGTCCTAGCTTAGATCTTGTGGCAACAGAAGGCCTGTAAAGTCTGAAGAACTAGAAGGTGCCTATTCTTTGTTTTCCCAGAGTGTCATGGGGACTCCACTTCTGACACTTCTCAAAGACCCTTACATCCTGGTGGCAGCAGGTAAGTTGACCATGGCTTCCCTCTGTATGGGAAGAGTCAGGCTTTAAGCAGCCCACAGACTCACAGAACTGTCTCTCAGGTTCCATCTGCCTGGCCAACATGGGAGTCGCAATGCTCGAGCCCACACTCCCCATCTGGATGCTGCAGACCATGTGTTCCCCTGAGTGGCAGCTAGGTAAGTGGCCTGGGTCCCCACCAAAGGCTGAGGCACCATGCAGGTGTGCTGGGCCTTTCTGAAGGTGTTCAGTAGCCATCAAATCCACGTCGTCAGTCTCTCATAGAGACAGCACACGCCCTTCATGGACTCAGCCCCATGTCCACACCCATGCCCTGAGTCCGAATGGCTGTGTGGAGAGTCACCTTGGTGGGCCATGGAAAGGCCACAGGCCTAGTACTCTGTAAAACTGTTTGGTGTCTCCAGCCAAAGGCCTGGTTTTGTTCCCAGAGCATTGACTGGCAATGCAAACGTGTGAAAACCACTTAACCTTTCTGTATTACTTTCCTCACTGCTGTGACAAAATACCGACAAAGCAGCGTCACAGAGGAAGGACCTCTGAGCTCCTGTTGGGAGGGTATAGTCTATCTTGGAGGGGAAGGCCTGCAGAGTTAAATACTGCTGCAGTGCCTCAGCTCTGCAGGGACCGAGACGCGGAGAGCAGGGGCTGCCTGCACTTTAAAAGTCGTTGTCTAAGGCACAGCCTATGGGTGGTTCTTCACACCCCTCTCAGACTTCCAGAGACGCGTCTCCTAGTGATTCTCATCCAGTAATTGATAAAATCAACTACCACACCTTCTAACATCACTTTTAAAGCATCTTTTGTTTATATAAAATTACAAAGTAAAATTTTGTGTTGTTCCAACCAGTGAGGAGGATGGGCCTGAAGCCATCAGCTCTGTTTCCAGGCAACTGGGCACATGCTGTCTGCTCTTTATTTTTGACTACTTCTGAGGACAAATCCCCTGGCCCTCATGCAAACCGGACAAGCATTCTACCACCGAGCTACAGCCCCAGTCCCCTCAGTCCCCCCAGTCCTGCTACTTTATTCAGTGAGACCTGAGATATAAACCCTAATCCTCAGTGCCTATGCATGTTTTCCCATGACTTTGGACCATGTTGTTTTGAAGTGATGTGGTCTCACGATGAGCAGCACTTGAGCACCATCTGAAAAGAGCTTGGGGGCTGGAGAGATGGCTCAGTGGTTAAGAGCATTGCCTGCTCTTCCAAAGGTCCTGAGTTCGATTCCCAGCAACCACATGGTGGCTCACAACCATCTGTAATAAGGTCTGGTGCCCTCTTCTGGCCTTCCGCATACACACAGATAGACTATTGTATACATAAATAAATATTAAAAAAAACTTAAAAAAAATAAAATGAAAAGAGCTTGGGTGTGCTATCTGCTTCACAGAGCGACTGTAGGAATGAGCGGCCTAGGGTGTTCTGCTCCACAGAGGCCTTGAGTGAGGATTTGAGTGAGCGTAGAGAAAATGCCTGGGCCTCAGGAAACCCCAGGACAAGGGGGCAGGAGAGGCTACGTGCAAACGGCTCAGTCACTACAGTCAGGAGAGGTTAGTGGTGCCAGAGGGGAAGCTGATAATAACCGGATATAGCTCAATGTACCATAAAAAATACAGAATCTAATTTTAAGGGGCCAGGTCTAAGCAGGGCCCCAGCTGTACACTTACCTTCAAATCGAATTTCTTGGGCTGTAACTGCCTCTGACCAAGACAATTAATTGAGTTAGGCAGTGCTCGGTGCTGATAGCATCTCTACTGAGGAGGTTCTGGCCATGGCTCCCTGTACTAGTGAGTACGACACCCTGGAGCAGCCCTCCCCCAGCTGTCCAGTTAGAGGCCGCCTTCACAAGTCTCTTGATTACCGTGTGCAGCATCTTGTGCTACTTCCCCAGTGCTTGTGCTATAAACTCTACACACTCTGGACGGCGGGGCCTTGAAGCAAGGTAGCAAGAGCAGGTCTACTGCACCCCACTCCTTTTCTAAAATTCACTTTTTCTTTTTTTTTTCTTTTATTGATTTTTTTTATTGAGCTCTACATTTTTTTTTCTGCTCCCCGCCCTTCCTCTCCCCTCCCCTTCAAGCCTCTTCCATGGTCCCCATGCTCCCAATTTACTCAGGAGATCTTGTCTTTTTCTACTTCCCATGTAGATTAGATCCATGTATGTCTCTTTTAGGGTCCTCATTGTTGTCTAGGTTCTCTGGGATTGTGAATTGTAGGCTGGTTTTCTTTGCTTTATGTTTAAAAGCCGCTTATGAGTGAGTATATATGATATTTGTCTTTCAGGGTCTGGGTTACCTCACTCAATACACTGTTCTCTAGATCCTTCCATTTGCCTACAAATTTCAAGTTGTCATTATTTCTTTCTAAAAATTATTTTTCATTTTCAATACATCCCAGCCGCAGTTTCCCCTACTCCTCCTCCTCCCATTCCACCCACACCCCCATTTTGTCTTTATCCCAGATCCACTCCTCCATTTCCCTTCAGAAAAGAGCTGGCCTCTGAGGGATATCCTGTGAGCATGGTATAACAAGATGCAATAAGACAGACCCTCATGTCAAGGCTGGGTGAAGCATTCCAGTAGGAGGAAAAGGGTCCCAAAAACCAGATGAGTCAGAGACACCTCCCATATCTGTCTTCATTTTCATGTGTAAAAATAAAACTTTCATGGTCTTGGTCTTTGGACTTATTTGAGGGAGGTTAGTGTAGTGTGCGGGTTATAGGCTTTCCTAAGCTAATAATTCATCTTGCCTTGGCTATGTGTGATCCACCCTTGAAGACAGGCTGTGAATGGCAAGGGGGTGTTGATTAGCCTAGAACACAAAGCACTGCTGAAATACCCCCTGGAGTGAGGTGCTATGGGGCACGGGCATGTCTGAGGAAAGCCTCATGTAGGGTAGGGAGTTTCACACAATTTACCAGGATGTCAAGGAGACCGGGAGCTACGCAGTGAGCTTCCCCTTTCTATGTATCTGCTAAACCATTCAGTAGTTATTGCCTCTAAACTTTCAGGAGCAGTTAAACGCAGATGAACAGGTCCAGTCTGAAACAGATTGCCAGCCCGTGCAGATAAAGCAGGCAAACATGGGAAGGCACGCCTCACTTCTGCTGCACAGAAGACAATATGAAAAGCAAACAGGCTGCTGCCAGGCCCTGCCAACTGTTTACACTGGGCTTTGGGATCAGGGTCATGATGCTTTCTGTTGGCTTATATTGTTTCCTCGGTGCCCAAAGTGGTACAGGGAGGAACCAGGGAGACCCACAGAGACTCACACTGCTGGTTCCAAACAGATCCTCAGGCCAGAGTCGGCCTGAGTCCCTCTGGTGGGCTTGGTTAGGGGGAACTCTTGGCCATGGACTGAGTTAACCCTGGCCATCCCAGGCACGACAATAATTAAGATGAGCACTTACAGGGCACTGCTTCCATGTCAAAACAATGGAAAAGATATGGAGTGTGTTCTTACTTTTGGTTTTATCATTTTCTATAAACATTTTTAATTTTTAAAAATAATTTTGTAACTGTAATTTATTTTTATCATAACCAGCCCAGCCTTTCCAATTCTTCCCATGTTACCCTATCTTTCCTTTATTTTTTTTAATATTTATTTATTATGAATCCAATATTCTGTCTGTATGTCTGCAGGCCAGAAGAGGGCACCAGATGTCATTACAGATGGTTGTGAGCCACCATGTGGTTGCCGGGAATTGAACTCAGGACCTTTGGAAAAGCAGGCAATGCTCTTAGCCACTGAGCCATCTCTCCAGCCCTTTCCTTTATTTTTTTTAAATATTTATTTATTATGTATACAATATTCTGTCTGTGTGTATGCTTGCAGACCAGAAGAGGGCACCAGACCCCATTACAGATGGTTGTGAGGCACCATGTGGTTGCTGGGAATGGAACTCAGGACCTTTGGTAGAGCAGGCAATGCTCTTACCCTCTGAGCCGTCTCTCCAGCCCCCTGTCTTTCCTTTTGAATGATGTCCTTGTCTTTAATGATTTTCTAGTGTGTGTGTATGTGCTCATGCATGTGTACATGTGTGTACATGCATATGTGTGGGTTTTGTGGATCCAGTACTGTTGTCCATATGCTCATGGGTATAGGACTGACTGCTTGGACTCAGAATTTTTTCAGAGGGGCTCCCCCTGCGAAAAACTGATTCACCTTTTTTCTCATGCCTGTAGATCTTCAACCAGGGGTGGAGCATTGTGAGTCCTTCCCCAACGTACATTGCAATACTGACTGGTGTGGCCCTGTGCAGACAGCCACGCTGTTGAGTTTTCATGAAGCAGCTTCCCGTCACACCCAGAACACAGTATTTGGCAATAGTCTCCTTGTCCTTGGGTTCTTACAATCTTCCATAATGTTCCCCAAGCTTACGGTATAGGGCTCTCTTACTCTGTCCGTTTGGGGATGGGCTTAAAAGTCACGTGTTCTCTGTATTTTGATCAGCTGTGGTTCTTTGTAATAGCCTCCACCTGCTATAGAAAGATTTTTTTGATGAGGGCTGAAAGCCTATGTAGTATTTTCTTGGTGAATCCAAACCATCCTATTCCTGTTAATTGATTTTATTTTTACACCAAAATATCCAAGGTGGGATGACTTCAAATATTTAGGAAGTTTTCGAGGTGAATGGTCCAAATAGCACAGTGCTGGTTTTAACAAGAACTTTGTTGGGCGAGAGCGGCATGTACATTTCAGGATGTAGTCCTATCCTTCAACTCACTCTCAGAGAGTTCTAGGGGCCCATGGGACCCACCTTAGTTTATTCTCAGGAAGATCCCTGTGATGATCAAAGGACCTGCTCCCACCTCCAGTAGGGTCTCATGTAGTGACTTCAAACTGACTATGTATCTAAGGTTGAGAATGAACTTCTTTTTTTTATTTTTATTTTTTTGTGAGAACATGGTAAGATCTATTTATTTAGATTCCTCTATGCTTTTCTTTCTTTATTTTATTTTATTTTATTTATTTATTAAAGATTTCTATCTCTTCCCCACTGCCGCCTCCCATTTCCCTCCCCCTCCCCCAACCAAGTCCCCCTCCCTCGTTAGCCCAAAGAGCAATCAGGGTTCCCTGCCCTGTGGGAAGTCCAAGGACCACCTACCTCCATCCAGTTCTAGTAAGGTGAGCATCCAAACTGCCTAGGCTCCCACAAA